ATTTTATTAGCAAACATAATACTTATTAATAAGTCCATAATAAAAAAATACGGAATTTATTATAGATTAAATTAGATATATCTGTATGATAAATATAAAATACACAAATATTGAAATAATAATGTACAAACGAGTAACTATATAATGTATAAAAAATAAAAATATTGTCAATAGTAAAAAAAAATCAGTCACATAAAATATATAAATTAAATATTTACACATAAATTAAAAAATAAAAATTGTCAATAGTAAAAAAACTTCAGTCACAAAATATACAAATTAAATATTTTATGTGACTGATTTTTTTTTACTATTGACAATTTTTTACAAATTAAATATTTTTTTTTTTTTTCCAGTTTGAACCGACGACGCCGCGGGGACTGCTTGCGCATTGCTTCCGCGACTCAAATTAAATATTTACACAAAAATAAAAAAACATTAAAAATCAGAAAAATCAGAATCATCTTCGTCATCAGAATTGCCGATAGTTAGTACAACTCTCTGTTGTTCTGCCATCAGTTCATCAATCAAATTATCCATGTCCCAAAACTTGTCTTCTGCTTTCGTGGTGTGGCTGATAAAGTTTTTCCACATCTCAACAGTAACTTTTACAGTACCTTCGATTAGAAGATTATGTACGTCGGCTAGCTTAAAAGTTTTGTTGATGGCTTTTACGTGATCTTTGACGACAGACCAAGCTAATTCTATAGGATTTAGCTCACAGTGGTAGGGAGGTAAACGTAAGACTACTTTGTTTTGCTCCTTAACCATTTCGTCAATCACATAGGTTGAATACAAAGGTTTCAATCGTTTTACCACTTCTAATAACTCCGGAATTATCATCGAGTTATCGATTACCTCCCCTTTACTTGTGAGCCAATTGATGATGTCTGCCTTTCGCCATTGCGTAGTTGGACATTTCTCTTTTTTCACTGAGTGATAAGGAGTGTTGTCCATCACAATTACACAATTTTCCTAGAGTCTCGGCAAAACACCTTCCAACCAATCACGAAAAGAATCCCCATTCATCTCGTCGTGATAGTCTTGGGTGTTTTTTTTGGATTCGAAACATAGAAGCCCACCTGGAACAAATCCGTCTTCGGACCCTATGTGAACTACTATGAGTCGCTTCCTTTTACCTGTGGGATTGACTGCGCCTGTTGATAGTCCCTGGGAAAAAGCGTCTTGGCTAGATTGTACAGTATTGTCACTCCATATTCTGCTCGTAACATCTCCAGCATTTACCCAAGTTTCGTCGAGAAAATAAATTTGACGACCTTCTTCTCTGTATTTTCGTAAATCTCTAATGTACCGTCTTCGCCAAAGAATTATCTTGTTTTTTTCAAGTAACGCGCTGTTACGACCTCGTTTAGCACATTCGAATTCCATGGATTTCATTAATCGATATAATGATGTGCGGGAGAAATTTGGTAGACTTTTATCTTCATTAACTACCGTCAACATTTTATCTAACGTCGGCAGTTCACGATTAAACCAAAACTGATGGATTTTCCTTCTGATGGCATATTTATCAAAATCGTCTACTTTTGTTTCAACGTTTTTGAAAATTTTTATTTTGTTTGGCGAAGACACTGTTTTGTTTTCGCGATATTGGGCAATTGTGTTTGAAATTGTCTTTTGACCAATTCCCAATTCCTTAGAGAGGATTTCGCGCGCCTTTCTAACAGTCAAATTTGGATCGACTGCCAATTTGGATTTATACGCATTGATTATCATTTCACGTTGACGTGAACAAACAAACTAAAAAAAATAAATATATCTTGTTATCTACATTTTTATAAAAATGAAAATCGACTTTTTCAATTTTAAACGTTTTTAAATGAAGTGAGAAATTTAGTACTACAATAGTAATATTACTTAACATTTTTTTTTTTTAATTTTTTATACTAATTTATCACAATAATAGTTTTTAAAAAAATGTTTGAAAGCGAGAATATTATTTACCAAGCACTGGATTTGCACAACATTAATTTTTATAAAAAACATTTCGAAATTTAAAATTGAAAGTATTTTAAAATTGTAGAATTATTTAATAAATTATTTTAAAACAATAAATGTATACCATATAATTAGTGTAATTAACTTTCGAGTTCATTATACCTTACTGGAAATAACGTAAAGTAGTATGAATAGTTTCATCGTAAAAAAAGATAATATCTTTAAATTAATCTTTATATTTTTAAAATTGCATTGCATATAGTAAAATTAATAGTACCTACCAATATAAAATAAGTTTTAAGTTGTAAGTAGTTTTAAATTGTGTTTGAATTATTACATCGTATTGTATTTTATTTTCATACCCTACCTATCAAAATCGAATATTCACGTGTTGGGTTGATTTTTTTTTACAAAAGTTAAGTTTATAAATGAATAATGAGCAGTTTTATATTACGTAATTTCCAGTGTTGGTGAAATTACTATTTTTTGGTAATTAAATTACATTACTAATTCCTTATCAAAATTGTAACTAAATTTTTTTAAGTTAATTTTTTATTTATTTGGTAAATTTACATTTTTTTTTGAGTTTAAAAAGTAATGTAATTACAAATATAAATAATTAATACTTCTATAATTACTTGTTGTTATTAAGAAAAAAATGTTTTAAGGCTACGGTACTGAGAAAGACTTAAAAAAGCAAAATATCATTTTAACTTTTAAATATGCAAAAATATGCAACATAGAATTTCACATTTAACATCTTAGGTTTTTAAAACAAATTAATAGCTCAAATATACGTCTCCAGATCCTCTAAAAAGAAATGTGTAAATGCTAGAAGTTATGAGTTCTGATCATTATAGTTACTAAAAATATACAATTTAACTATAATATTTTTTATATTTTTATATTTTATTTTTTTAAATAGAAGTTTCTTTCGATCTTTCAAAATTAAACGGATTTCAATATTATTTTTTCTTCATATTACAAGTAAATAACTCTATGAAATAGCTGTTTTCAAATGTTCAAAAAAATGTAAGTGGTTTTTTATTATTTTTACTTTGACCAATATTAAAGGTAGGCAATTAGTCATATTTACATTGAAAAAACTGCATTACAATATCTGAATTATTTTTCGAATCACAACTACTGACATTCTAGTTAATTTACATACTGTATTGGTAACTGGTTCTTTAAAAAAAGTTTTTTATTATTTTCTCCGAATAACCTTTTATTGACTTATGTCATTTCTCAAATTGGTGGTTCATGTGCATACTCGCTATAATATATATTAAAATATTATCGTAAAAACTCGATATGTGAATTTGGATAAAATGCCCAAACACGTGTTTTTGCCTACCAAACTATTAAATTGAATAACTGTAAATAATAGTTATTTGCCTTATAACTTATATAGTTATAAACAGTTCACATTTGTTACATAAAAGATAACGTAGTGAATTAAAATGCTGTATACCTATATTGAAATAAGTTTCAGACACAGATGCACAGTTTACAAAAAAAAGGTCATTTGGGCACAGTTGGTATGTCCTTATATGGATACAAAACGACTCATAATATAAGGAAACAATAGAACATATCGGTTTACCACATGGTAATACGTTTTTGTGTTCAATATCCTTGAAAAAAATATTTTATACGTGTCTCATGTATATCACAGAAAAACACTTTAATATAAAATAAATGTTATACGTAGGTGTATAAATTAGTTACAGTTACAAAATACGTTTTTATAGAAAAAAGTGGGTATCAGTATCTTGTTCAACAGTTTTATAAATATTTCTTTAACTAAATCTTTGTAATAGATGTTATAGTATAAAGCGTTAAATTTTTTAATTGGTAAAGAAGTAGTATTCGGTTTACTTTTTATTTAATTTTGTTAATGAAATGAATATAGTTTAAACATTAGTAATTTGTTTTTTCATGTTATATTTCGTATTTTTGATTATAAAATTTAATATATTTTATATAAGGCTTATAATCAACCCTTGATTCAACTAATAACTTAAACCGCATGAACTTCATTTTTTAATCGACTGTTTTTCAAAATTTAATTAAATTTCTTATATTATGTCACGTTTTTAAAGTTGAATATTTGTTACTTTACGGCTTCTATGAAATGGTCGATATTCATTTTCTTAAACAATTGATTCAAGTTAAAAAAATATACATACCTTTCCTTTGATATTTCGTTTAACCGGCGACGAAAATTCTACTCCAGCTATTTCTTCTTCGGTAAATAAAATAAAATTAAAAAAAATAATAATGAAAAATCAAATGCAATTTAGGTACTGAGCGTTTGCTAGTGACGGTGTGCTGCGTGTAAACAGGATATTACAAATGATACACAAAAAAGATTGGAATTTGAATCGTTCGGTATAACGACCAGTCAAATATTTATCATCGGTTAGGAGCGCTAGCAACCATGCTAATCAAACAAGTGGTTCCCTGGGACAAAGTGGGAGATGCGCGCCGCCGAACGGAAACTGGTCGCCGCCCGGTGTCTTCTCTTTTGAAACGGAGTATAGCGAATAATACAATATGCTAGTACTATTACTGTTTTATTTAGACAATCTTTTAAATATAATATATAAATTACTATTATTTTATTGCTTCAAGTAGTTGAATTTATCAAAAATATACATCTACTATAATAGGTAATTATAGTATAATTGATTATATTTATAAAAAAAAAATTATATTTTACTGGAAAAAATAATTTCTTATTAAATATTAAATAATAAACTTAAAAAAAAAATGGGGGGAAAATGTCCGCATCGAAAATATATTGGGGGGAAAATGTCCTACTACGCCAAAAACAGTCGGGGGGAAAATGTCCGGGGGGAAATTGTCCGCCATTCGTCTTCCAATAGTATTACCTATGTATAGGAGTTGTACATAATAATTGTTCATGTATGTTGCCATTTTAAACATATCTAACACAAATTGCAAATTGCTGTTTTATATAACATTATTACGCTCCTTAGGCAGCTCTCCCACTAACTCGACGCGATTGACGCGACGCAACTTAAAAAAAAACCATGAAACTGTCGTACGCGACGAGTTTTGCGTAGAATCGCTCATTCACGCGATCGGAGTCGCATCAACAATATTGTGCTACTGTATTATTTTTCAGTTCGTATATTTAAACAGTATATAACAGTTCGTCACCAGCATCATCCGTGTACCTATTGAAAATGGAATCTGATAGTTCAGATGATAGTGTGATAGTGATGTGGTCTTATTTAAAAAGTAAAAAAAAAAAACGTAAATTTTGGATTCATCCCTACTTAGCAAATAATATCAACAGAAATGCGTATGTTGCTTCGAGAGAACTATTATTACATCCAGAACGTTTTCAGTCATTCTACAGAATGAGTAAAGAAAGTTTTTCAGAACTTTGCAATTTGCTTGAACCGGCCATCAGCCGAAAAGATACTCATTTTAGAAAATGTGTCGGTGTCGAAGAAAGACTTCTAATAACAATAAGGTATGTATTGTATACTCGTATATTCACGCGTTATGATTGTTATGAAATAATAATTTAGATTTATATGGATAATTTATAAGGTTGGCCAAGTTCATGATTCATGGACATTAAAATATGTACCAAAAATCGTTGCATTAAAAATAAGGAAAAATACGCTATAAATACAAAAATCACAGAATAGGCACACAAACTTATATGAATAATTGAATAAATATCGTTGACTTTCATTCAAATCATTGACACACCTTATATAATAATAATAGAGAAACTTACACTGTACGTTGTAATAAATAAATATTGTAAGCATCAAATAAACGATAAACCTGTTAGAAAATCATATGGTATAAATGGACTATGTCATCTAAAAACAATAAACAAAATAAGTAAGATAAAATTTTTAATTTTTAATGCTTCAAGAAAATTTAAAAATACTTTTTGACATAAAATTGTTTATTAAAAAAATTTAGATTTTAAATGTTATAGAAAATGTATAAATATACGTCTTATTTAAAAAAAGCAGAAATGCAATACATATATATATATATATATATTATTTTTTTGTAAGATATTCTTGCATATCGAGTGGTATACAAGACGTGTTTGGATTGATCTGCACTTGTTCAATGTTACTCAAATTTAGCACACTTTGGTACTCTTGTAATGTTTGTGTATGTTCTAAGTTATTTGAATTTTGTATGTACATGGGTATCACTTTATAAACCAGGCGCACTTAAGTCTATAAGTGATGCGGTGAAGAAATACAAGAACGTTCAAATAGTGGCGCTGCAGGAGGTCAGGTGGCCAGGGGAAGGAGACGTGAGAACCAATGGAATGACATTATTTTATAGTGGACCATCCAATGGAAAGCATGAGAATGGAGTGGGTTTTTTAGTAAATGACCAGTTGTTACCTTCTATAAAGAAATTTACTCCAGTAAATGATCGCATCTGTCATATTCGTATAGCCGGTAAACAATATGACATTATACTGATATGTGTATACTCACCCACAGAAACGGGTGAAAAAGACCTGAAGGATATGTTTTATGATGAATTAGAAAGAGTGTACAATGGTCTATCAGGACACTGTTTAAAAATTATATTAGGGGACTTTAACTCACAAGTTGGGCGAGAAACG